GTTTTTCTTTTTCATTGTCACCGTGCAGCGGTTAGTGATGAACATTAGTTAGAAAGAAGTCTGCCCGTAAATTAACTTTGTTTCGCAGGCCACGAACACAAAATTACGTTCTTCTTTACCATTCTTATCTTGCGAAGAATAATTGCTGATGCTAGTTAGAAAGAAAAAATCTTCGCGTAGAATAGCTTTGCTCCACGGAGGAAGAAAAGTTGGAAATTGTTTGTTGTTGATACACTGCAAGTGGTTGAAGCAATCACTTTCTAGAACGTCATAACGGCAATGTGCAACGTTTGTTTCTCAAACATTCGTCAATAGTTGTTTTTTTTTATTTATGAAATGTTCCCAGATTGAGACATACGAATCAGTTCCGATGAAATTCGCTTGTTTTCGAACTCTGAAATAATCAATCTAGGGTAGTGAGAAAATCTATTTTTACGTGTGATAATGATGAAGAAGCTTTTGATTGAATTATGAATAATTAAGTCAAATATCCAAAAATATTTTTGTGTCCAGTCAATAAATTCTATTCATTGAGTATCATGATTCATTCATTTTGATATTAAATTAAAAATACTTTTTGAATCTTCGACGTCAAAATATTTCACATAGATTCAATGCTGTTGATGTTAAATGAGAATCTTTTTAAGTTTATTCTTCTAGAAAAATCCTTCATTAAACAAGAATATCGCTGACGTAAAATCTAGTTATGTGAACATCTCCTTGCAAAGATCACTAAAATATCTGTTCTTCTGATTGTGTTTTGTATTTTCTCTTTCAAAATACAAAGTTTTGATTTTGAATAGTTTTTTTCTTTATCGTTTTAACAAAGTGTGGACGATGTTTCTAATTTCGATATAAATTATAGACCAGAAAAGTCTATATTGAAATCAGCAAAAAATTCTCATTGAATATGTGCTGATAATGAAAAAATGTTTTCAAGGATTTGCATATGTAAATCTATAAGCCATTAATTCGTGCTGAACTTAAGGCCCTCCTCAAAAATCAATCTCAGCCCAGAAACATTCAAATGACATGGAATTTTCAGTCTGATATCATGACGTTTGAGGGAGATATTGGCCAAACGAGGATCAAAAATAGCGAAGTTGCGAAATCAAATTTCTCAATCCAAGTCCATGTGATGTATTTAAATCTTTTTTTGTTTGAAAGACCATGTCAGAATGCAGGGCACTACAGAGTCCTTTTTTTTTAATTTTTACTTTTTAAATGGAAAGAAGACATCACAAGTTCAATGACTTCAAATAGCCCCTAAAAGATGGTGGTTTTTCTATAGAAGTGTTTTCTTATATTATTATAAAAAGGTTTATTTCAAAAGAAAAGGACTCTGTGGTGCCCTGCGTCTTGACACGCTCTTGTCAATAAAAAAGAAATTTAAATATATCACATGGATCTGGTCTGAAAAATTTTGGTTGCGCGTTTACCATATCATGAACTGAGAAAAAATGAAAAAGATTTTCGGTTTTTTTTAAAATGGATTATTTTTCGAATAGAGGATGACGAAAATCTTCAAAAATTTTTGAAGAAAACGAGATGCCGAGTAAAAATTTTTGTCGCTTATGAGAGATCAGATCACGGGCTATCTCCTCCTGCATTTATCTTAATTTCGATTATTCTGACGAAAAGTGACTTTTTTGAGAACGGCCTCAAATAGCTGAGAAATTATAAACTTTTAAACATTATTATTCGTTTGTTGTATGTAATTTTTAAACTATTCCATAAGAATATTTCATTTGATGAACAAACCTTAAATCGAATTCTAATTAAACAAGGACAAAAATTATTTTTAAATCTAGAACGAGTAAAACCAAATATTATTTAAATAGAAAGTCGTGACGATGAGTTATAATTTCATTAGTGTTAAGGAAATTTATATCCTTGATTCTGAATAAATTCAATAAATCTCAACAAAAATATTCTTTTTATCATTTGTGTCTTGTAATATTTGTACAATTTTGACCAGTTGCACACGCACATTTATCCGCTGAAATTCACGAAGAATCGATAAGAATAGTGCACAACAACATAAATACCAAACATCATAAATGTAAATGAATTACACAAAGATCTTTAGAAGTCTGTCAAATTGAGCGAGCATTAAGAGTGGTCGAAGCTGATTCCTTCTCAAAAAAAATCATTATTTTCCATATTTGCAAGCGGTAATTAATTACGGTTAAAATTATCAAATTTTCCAAAACGAAAATCACATCAATTTCAAGTTTTTTGTTCAACAAATATGTTCATCATCAATAACGAATATTTCAGTAGATACTTTTGTTATAATTTGTAGCTTTCTATTCACATTGATATTATCGACAAAACATACATATCGAACCAAGATTTATACAATACATCTTATGATAGTAAAAATTAATGTATTTTCACAGTTTGCCTTCTTTTTCTTTCTAATTGATCAAGTCTATTAATGAGTTATCGATACATATGTAAATATACGTGATAATAATTCACTAAATAGCACTAATCAAATAAAATAGTTATCATTGAATAATTTTGTTTGGTCTGAACACAATTAAATTATTAAATCATCAACATATACAAAAATGGAAGAATTGTTTCAAATTTATATAATAAACTCTTGATTTTGATTATATCTCTTGAAAATCCAATTTGTCGCAGAAGTACTTAAAAAGATATAATTAATAAAAACAAAACAAAAAAAAAGATAAAATTGCATGAAAAATGCGCAAGTTTATTTTCTTCGTGTAAAATATATTTATTTTGATTATATTTATTTATTTGTTTGCTTTTTCATAAATTTTATCTCATGACAAATATAAAATCATCATTTGTACGGCGTACATCATTGTGTCCACCTCATGAACGTAGTGATTTACCAAATGCTTCAATGGTTGATGGTTCAAGCGTACCAAAAAGTATTACTCAACATCCTCGACAACGTGATCAAGAAACTGCAACTGTACAAGATCAGCAAAATCAATTAGCACAACAACGTCTTTCATTGATTAATGCTGTTCAAATAGTAAAAAATTGGCATAAAAAAACTCCAATGGATAATCCAACAAATGAAATACATCAGTCTGATATAAATGTACATAGAATAAATAATTTAATAAAAAAATAAGAATAGAAGAAATTAATATTAAATTCTTGTTGGAAAGAGAAAAATTTCTACTACAAAGATGTGTAAAAATATTTTGTTCAAGATACTTAACGAATGCTTGCAAGTTTTAAGAGCATGTTGGGTTGGAAAAGTGTCTCACAACTTCACACAAAATCAGTGATGAGAGACGCATTTTATCGGCTTGCATTGTACTCGGCATTTGAAATTTTTATAAATATTATGTATGAGTGTAACCCACGCGATTCGAACTTCCTAGGAGAGTCAAAATATTCGAGTCACAAAGCCGCAAGTTAAAACATGAGGTTTTTACTAACTTCGATTGCTGGAAAGAATCCTATTTTTTGAAATGACTTATTAGCTGTGAACACTTTTTGCTAGTCAAGAACGTTAGAAAAATGTCGACTTCGAATTCAACCGATAATTTGAAAATTTGATTTTTACTTGTTTACAATGTCCTATTGTAGAGCTATAAAACCTAATAAAAGACGAAATATAAGACTAACTTTCTTAGTCACATATTAATTTAAGGTGAATTTAAATACTATGCTCTTTATAATGAAATTCACTAGTTTTTTTGAGTTAGACCGATTTTTTATCAGGATAATTGTTTATCAAAATTCATTACAATTTAATTTATAAACTTAACAAATGAATATGAAATGGAGGTAATTAAAAAAACGATGTCTCAGAAAAAATAAGCCAATGAACGATTACATCCCTTTTCTTAACTTTTCAATGTTTGATATACATTCTTTTTTAAAAACTCTTAGTAGTAGAGTTTAACAGTTGGTAGGATTAAGGGAAGAGCAGAGCAGTCATCCAAAAATGAGCCATACTTGCTGTTAGGGCGCGGGTGATATACATCTCTGATCGACACTAGATAATAGTAATGCAATCATCGAATTATTGCATTAAAATATATAAATAAATACAACGATTCTGTTACTTTGTACAATCATGAGTTAGTCACGTATATCATCTAGTTTATTGAACATTTTGAAGAGAAGAAAAAAAAAAGAAAATAAATTTAACTAATTATCGACGCGATATTTTTTTGATTCTAACATAACAAGTGATGGTATTTGTTTACAACCAGTTGTACTATATAATATTCCTTGTTCATTAATATATTGAAGAGAATTAAGAATATTTTCAATTTGTTGATTATCAAATGATGGTTGAACATTTTGTATATAAGCTTCATTTTGAATACATGTTCGAATATGATCACGTTGTAACATATTAAATTGAATAGATTTTGTAATTATATTTTCTAAATTTTCTTTACATATATTCGACATTGGACCTGTTTGTAAAAGAATAATAAATACATTTTTATTATTATTAATTGAATATAAAGCTTTAGTCAATGTTTGACAATATGTTTCATTCGCTGGTAATAAATCTAAATCATCAATAATTAAAAATTGAAATAATGACGGAGATAAATATGATAATAAATATGATGAAAGACGATGAGATTCAATCCAATGATGTGATGATAAACCGAGAAGTGTATTTGTAGATATGAGAGTTGTTGGTAAAAATTTTTCAAGTGATGAAGCTAAATAAGATTTTCCAGTACCAATTGGACCCTAGAATTCAATAGATTTATTTATTTTGAATAATTATTATTAAAAAAAATGAATAAATACTTCGATAATAACAATAGTAAAATTCTTATGTTTGTTCATAGCATCTTTAAATTGTTCGAGTCCTTGATCTTGTCCAATGAGATTTTTCGTTAAATATTCACTT